ACCTAGAAGCGGTACACAGCGTACCACTTCACAACACAGTGTTTAATTAGTAAACATTGATCTTTCTGAGAGATACCACTTGCACTGTGCATTACAGCCCTCTCATTAAAAAGAAGTGAGCCTCCTTGTACCTGTATTTCAGAATTTGAAATACTTGACTTTACTCAGAGTATATTTTTTACTAGCACAAACTCCTTGAAGGCAAATGCTGACGAGGATGTCCCATGGATATACCCTCTTGGGCACAGCGCATGAAACTCGTTGCTGGTCATGGGGCTCCTTAAACCCATCTGTCCCATTTTGTGAAAGCACTGCCACCTTGAATTTCATTTCTGCAATGGGTAGGTGGGGTGCAAGAAACTGCTCAGTTTCTCTTATTGTTCTTTTGTTGGTTCCTAATTTTTTTACTGAGAAAAAAAGGAAAAAGGTCTCAGGCTTGGTACCTCAGCACAAGCAGACATTTGATCTCTCTTTCAGTGACTAGCTCTCACTGACATCAGGGGGAGCTTTCCTGAAATCCTTCGCAGGGACCCGACACGTCCCTGAGCTACAAAATGCCAGCACCAGCTCCTGCTCCGGTCTTTGGCAAGTGTCTTCAGGGGTTTAAGGTTAAAAGCCATGTTTCAGAGACTGGAGTATGAGGCTATAGTGTTCCTCTGGGACAGCACTCACCAGACTGTGTGGGACTAAGCATGGGATGCCGGGAGATGTTGCAAACCTGAACAAGGGCTTAGAGTGATGGAGCAAAGTGCCAGGGAATATGTGTGAGTGTGCCCAGGCTTAAGAAGCATTGCAAAGTCTTTCCAAGGTGACACAAGTCACAAGACACAAATGCTTGGGGGGGGGGACGGAAATCAATGCAGCAAAGAAATGGCCCCCACCCTTCCACTGCCCCAAAATGGACAGCCATTGATTTACTGAAATCTATCTAAGACTTTATTATAGTGGTCCAACCTACATAGAAGATACTCCAAAATTACGAAGATGGGGTAGAAACAAAAAAAAAAATAATCCTAAAGCATGTGTCAGCTGGAATTACAGTACTTACAGTGCAGGAAAAGGACAGAAAACTTGCAGAAGCAAGAGAACGAAGAGGTGAGGAACAATGCAGAAGGACATGGGGTTGAACAGGGGGAAGACAGTCTAGGTGACTTCTTCCTGCTCTAAATAAATACCTTTTCAAACTCAAACATAGACATCAGTGCTTTTCTATCCATTTTCCTGAAGAAATCTTACAGAGCTGGCACAGCGGAAAGCTCCCCTGCACACTGTTGCAGGTCCCAGGCCCGAGTTCCCTGGAAGGGGGTCTCTCACACTGCTCCGGCCAGCCCCGCCGCACGTGGAGCCCCGGGCAGAGCCTGGGAAGGGCACAGCACCGGCGGCTCCCACGGACCCCCCTGCTCTCCGAAGGCTTTTTCAGGGAGTACGGAAAAAAGATGCAGGTTTTTCTGTGGCCAAGTCGGCAGGATCTACTGCCAGTTACACTCTGTAGAGAGCTAGTATCTGCTTCTCTTACATACCAAACCCTTAGTAATTCCTGTTACTGTCCCACAAACCAAAGAAGTCTTTGAAAATGAAGGAACCACCATCAAAAGTACTTTCAAATAATAAAGCAAAAAATGAAGCAAGCTTTCCTGGGACAAAACCCAGAAACAGTCTCCCAAGAAGATCCTAGAAGCGTTCTTTGGCACGAAGTGGTGAAATCTGTGGAAAGACAGAGCGGGTGGGCAGCAGCGGGGTCAGAGGGGAAGGGGATGGCAGTGCCATGGTGCCCAGCTGCCTCCTGTCACCTCCCGCTAGCAGAAGACAAACCTGAAAAGGCCCAGTGTGTCCTTCACAACTGAATCACAGACAGGCAATGCACTGTGCCAGAGCCACAGACCTGCCCTCCCTGTGCAGGCTGCCTCCGAACAGCACAGCAAGAAGGATCTTTGGTGCCACAGGTCTGAACGGTGTTGGCCATTTTCATAGCCTCAGGAGCAAACACACGGACAAACTCAAATGTCCTCTTGGATTACAAAGCAAGAGACCATTATAGGATGGTGTCAATATGGAACATCTAAATGATTCACACAAAAGTAATTTTAACTAGGGAAATAAAACAATCCATTAAAGATTAGCAGTGCAATGTTAATGTGATATAACAAGACAAAAAGAAGCAACTGAACACGCAACAGTTAGGTCCTAATGGATAAACACAGGAAAGGACAACCCATATTTTCAGTTTACCATGAGATATCCAGGCATTACAGCAGAGCTGATAGACAGAACTATCTGCAGTGTCAGTAAAGTCTTGCAATATTTATTTAAGGCAGAATATAGTGATGAACAGAGAGCAGATGCTTAGTTGTTCCATATCAGTGTAGCTTTAGTAGAAAGCCAACAGAACTATGTTAAATTACAGCAGTGAGGGACAGCATCTGAAAAAAGGCATGGAGCTCCTAATTTGTGGCATGGTTATTTGAAAGCAATGCTGCAAAACAAGTTGGAAGAAACAGGACTGCATTTTACTATTTGATTTAAACTCAGGAGGTTTTAAAAGTGGGAATGTAAAAACAAAAAGCTGAGAAAACACACTTTTGGCAATGACATTTCACTTGTACAGCAACAACTGCAAAGGAGCTGCATTCCTTGTCCCGCACAAGAAGCAATAGGAATGATTAAACTTTAGAACACATACATGTACACACGAGAACACATATAATCATCCAAAAGCTCAGAACTATGTCACGATCACAAATGTGTAAGGCAAATAAATACATTTAAAAGGTTCATCTGAAACCACATCAGGGAAGGTTCAAGGTGAGGTTAAAACATTTCTAAAAGGGAGAGGATTCCCTTTCTCCAGCCAGTTGCAACATTTCCTTTGCCCAGAGCTATGGAGGTGAGGGGGGCAATGATGTAGCATGCACAAGGGCACCCATCCTGTTAGCAGACTTAGCAGTTATAAGCAAATCTCTCAGCTCAGAAACTGCATTTTGCACTTAAGAACACCGCTCGCATGAAATCCCTCCTGCCTTTTACCAGCAAGGGCACTGGAAAAAGCCAGCGTTGCAAACAAAACATTGCAGCCATAGCAACAAGCAATTCAACACTTAAACTTTTCAACAGACTAAACAGTATTTTCTTTCTGGTTTTATAATTTCATGGTCAATAATTCACCATAAGCACTTTACTTGTCTAGCTGGTCGTTAATGTCTCAAAAACAATCTCCTGTTAAAGCTTCAACCAAGAAAGCCTCCTCACTCAAAGAAAAATAAAAGTATGCGTATACAGGGAGACCACTTCAAAAATGAAACTTTTTTTCTCCCTTCTTGGAAATTGGTACAGAAAGATGGAGAAGAGCCCAAGTTCCAGCCCGTTAAATCAAGCACTAGCCCTTTATTTGTATTATATGCTATAAAATGTTACAACCAGGAACCCAAAAGCATCAAAATTGAGATTGAGAACACCTAACAACTTAGGTCTTGCAACAGTATCTCTGAGTAATGCCCAAACAGCACAGAACTCCAGTGGGAAGTCTCCTTGATGCTTTTTGCTGACAGTGAGGTATCTTTTAAAGAATATTTTTATAATGTTATCAGTAAAAATCCATTTGTAAGCCAAAATTGAAGGCTAAAAATAGGATAAAACATTCTGCTTGTTGATTAAATTTAACCTTGTTAATTAGACAGCTTCATTTCACAGTCAGTAAGAGTCTAATATTACGCTATTAAATCTATCAGTTTTTTGGAAAGTGTCATGCATGAACGCAACTGAAATCATGCTTTTTTTAAACTTTTAATGGCATCAAATTTAATATCCACAAAAGAAATCACTGTTTTCTCAAAGTCAAGAATTTGAGATGTTTAGAACCTATTGACTAAAGCATGAGGGCAATGGAAAACTGTTGATCTCTCCCAAGCAGACTAAATAATGTCCACATGAATTTTAGTGCTCAACAAAGGTGCTAACCTTAATGCATTAACTTAGGTAGGTAATTAATTATCTGAAGCTTTCATTCCCCTTTCCTGTCTCTTTACTATTTTTGATAGTCCTTTACTTTAGTGAAAAAACTGAATTTGAAGGAACCAGGTATCACAAATCCTTTGAGAGCTCCAGGGCTCATCCTGCCTTCTTTGCCGCTTCAGGTAACTTAATCGCAGCATACCCCCACAACTCATGGATGCAGGCTTTGTTGGCTGACCCTACACCTTGAGTGTGAACTCAACTCTGCTAGTAACACATGCTGAGAAGCTCCATAAATGACAGTGAAGGACAGAGCATGGAACAGACACAGAAATGTGTTTACACATTCAGGAGGAGCAGGGACCTTCTCCAACCCCTGTTTATTTGGATTATTTTTGACCAGTAACACTAATATCTATGGAGTTAATGTGCCATGTAAGACACAGTTACTCAACGTTCTGATTTTTTTAAGCCCCACTGGTCACACAGTTGTTCTCTATTATTTTTTTTGTTTGTTTGAAATGTTTTTTGAACTTCTCTCTCTATAAATCACAAGGTGAGGAACTGGGGAAAATACACTCTCTTTTTCAACTTCTTACAACTTCTGGGCTGTCTTGTAACCTGCCCACCTGCGTACTACACAATCACAGCCTGACACTGCACTCCAGGGTTTACCGAGTGTTTTTTACAGCCCAGGTGGGGTTGTCTAGAAATCTTATGTCCTGAGACATACGGGTGTCAGTGGGGGAGGATACTGAGCAAGTGGAAGTGTGAAGAAAGCATGGAAGCAAAATCCATTTATAACTAAGAATTACTAGTGGGACGTGATTGGTGACTAGCCTACGGGGAAGTGTCTGGTGATCACGAGAAGTCGTGCAGCACTCTGTCTGATTATTAAGCCTTATACAAACGGCAGATCAAAGAGGTGTGCAACAAGGGGGACCCGGTAAAACATGGGGGATGTTGGGGTTTTTTGACAGGAAAAAGGAAGAACAACCTCTATATTACACAAACAGGACTCTTGAAAAGCCACAGAAATATCCCATACTTACTTTTATCTTCCTGGTTTTCTTCCGCTGCTTTGCCTTCCTCCTCCTCCTCCTCCTCCTCCTCCTCCACCTCCTTCTGCTGCGCTTCTTCGTGGTGATCGGCGGCACCCACAGAAAGGCTCTGGCAGCAGTGGTTGAAGCCGCTATCCCGAGGCAGAGTGAAACTTCGGGGCTTTCCCCCATTCCCATTCAGCACTTGCATTCGCTCACCTTCCACGAGGGGGAAGGGGCCGTAGTGGTCTTGCAGGTGGCACTTCTGGGTGGGCAAGGTCGACTGCCGCCGGTGCTCGGGGGAGACCACGGCTGCCTCGGAGAACACAGAGTCCTCCAGCGGCAGTGTCTGCAGGTAGTGCAGTCCTGAGCTCGTCAGCGGCGTCTCTATGAGGTCCTGCCAGGAGCGCCGCTGGCTTCGCACCGGCGAGTCGGTGGCGCTCCCCGCCGCCTCCGGGCGAAACTCTTCGTGTGACGACTGCGACTGGGAGGTCTCCGTGGACGAGAGCCGGCTGTGTTTTGGCTCGACGTAAGGGCTTGTGCAGCTCATCTACAATGATCAGCAATGGAGCAACCTTCACATCAGTGTAGACTGAGACCTACTGCTAGTAATAATCACGTACTTCTCATTGTCACCGATGGCACCTTGTTCAGTAACAAAGGCACAAACTTACCTGACTAACCTGCCCTGATCCTAACTTTAAGGCATGCCCATATCTACACGTCACACCTGTAGGTCAAACACTGATACTTACTCATAGTAAGTATCTTTATTATGTCCCTTAGTCTATAAAAGAAGCCAACACAAGAGATGTGCCTAGTCCATTAAAAATGCCATCCAAATGCCTTTTGTCATCCTATCTTGCTAAAAATTTCCTTGTAATTGTGTTTGCAGTGCTTCAGTGTCATTCAAAGAGCTATGATTTTGGAAGATAAAGTGTTGCATTCAAATTAAACATCATGAACACTCTCTTTTTCCTGACTTTCCCAATTTTTCATTCCAAATTTTTGCATTTTAAAAATTATATTCAATGCATTAGTTAACACTGTCCGAGTATATGGACATGAAAATTAAAATTGCCAGTGCAGAGTAAGTTAGAAGTCCATAGAATCATAGAATCATAGAATCGTTATGGTTGGAAGAGACCTCAAAGATCATCAAGTCCAACCTTCTGCCCAACACCACCATGCCCACTAAACCCACTAAATCATATGCTCTGGTTTTATACCAACAACTGCTTCAACAAGAAAATAAAAATCTTCTTTTGTTCTGATTTATAGGGAAACCTACTTTTTCACAACAGACCAACTGGTATCACTGTTTGCGATATAAGACAGAATATGTTTCTGTTGGCATTTCTCTGGAAATTCAAGTGTAACTTGCTACTGTGAAGCTTCACAGCACCACTGCTGGAGCCTTAGAGAAGAGTCTGTGCTGCTACTAAGGTAACAACATTTTGTCAGAGAAGTTGATAAAGGGGCAGTGAGAGATTGCATGGATGAGTAGGGGTCCATCATGAAGGAAGAAGAGGAAGAAAGAATCCTGTAACTTGATCTATTTTGGACAGCAAGTGGGGTTATAAATCCATGTTCTCTACAAACCAGTGAAAACAGCAGTGATGACTGCTGAAGTTGGTGATGCATGTTACTTAAACAAATGCCTTAAATTGAGTACTGACTCAAAAAATATACTGGAGAGTGCCATAATGTGCGAATGTACATGCTTTTAAGCAGGAGAATAGGTAAAAGTGACACTCTGTGTCGTCATTCCTGTGGACAGTTGCAGGAGACTTACCGAAGGAGGCCGTGGGTATGTGTCGTACGGGGGCGGTGGGCTGTCTTGTTTGGGTGTTGATGGAGTGTCAGCTTCCTCCTTATCACTCTCACTCCAGTAATCTACAAGTTACATACAGATCAGATCAAAAACTACCAACACATATTGATATGTTTCTATATCAGAGACTTGCTTTTACAAGAGCAACTGGGAACTCCATCCTTGTTATTACTGAGAGTTAAATACTAGTTAAATACTAGACTCTGTAAACATTAGCTGCTGTAATTTGGAATTGTTTCAATCTAAAGAGGGAAAATTCAAAACATGATGGAGTATACCAAGTCTAATGCCCCACTGCAGAGATATTAAACAACAACCTGCTATTGAGCCACAAATTTAACTCTTGTACACATCTTATAAATACAATGTGCATACAGAATACTCCTAATACAAATATTGATACAGCCATAAAAAGAATTATGATTGGACATATATTGGCTGGAAAATACTGAAAGTATTTTTTGAACAGAAAAGATGCAAAATGTAACTTGCTAAAGTCTTGTTGACTGCAAATAACATGAACAGATGTAATTAACAGCAACTGGCAAATCAAACAAGTAGGGGTTATTGCACACATGAACAATCAGTGCTATTTTTCTACCCATTTTCTCCCTTGTATACTACCAGTTACTCAAGCTTTTCAATTCTATTTCTAATAACAAACAGCTGCATTTAAGATAAGACAGAAAACTTTATCTCATATCTCTGCTTCATAAAACACCTGCTCCTCTGTTATCCATGCAAGATCATAAAGGTGATATGGTAAGGAAAAATACGACAATGGCATTTAAGTGCAGAGTTCCAAAAGATGGATGAGAAAGTACAAGGGATGCAGATCTTGTGGGCTAAATTTAATGGCATACAAAGTTTCATTTTGTCAGGAAATCAAGTCTTGACCAAGCCCATTTCATATGTTTGATAGCTTGGTCAAAGGGAAGAATGGAAGAAGGGAAGAATGTACCACATGAGAATTTATATTTACTCTGTTGCAAATATTTTTGAAGCAGAACAGCATCTAACTAAATGGACACTGGACCTTAATATTTCTTACAAAAGAAACTACTTACTTACAAAAGAAAACTACTTAACTGCTGACTCAGCTCAAGATGGATAACTTTAACATTTCTACACATTGTAAGACTTATGCAAACATTTCTGTTGTCACTTTGTTTCTGAGTGTATTACCCTCTAGTATTTGGGTAAACCATTGTACAACAGGACACTTTAGCTCAGACTATTCACAGACTAATCACAGGCAGTTTTCACTCTGCCTAGTCGGTGTTCAATGAACTGCATGACTTACTGCTACTTACTACTTCTCTTTGATAGACGAGGAGGAAAGGATTGACTGCTGCTTCAAAAACAAACTAAGCGAAAATCCAAGCTGGCGCAACATATAATTTTGGCTTTAATGATTTTTTTGTTACTATGATGATTATTGCCTTGTATGATTAATGATCTACTGTACCTAATCTTATTCAAGATATGAAACAAAAACTTACCTTTAAGTTACATCATTTTTAAACAGCTGTCCCTAAAATTTTGTATATTTTTAGATTGTAGGAATGGTGGGGACAGCCTTAGTAATGCATTTGATTTTTCCAAGCAGTAACAACTCTGTTTTAAATCTAAGTCTCTTGATTTCCTTCCTGCAAGCTTATAGCTGAGAGTTTCTCTTTAAATGGCATAATAAATAAATACCCATAAATATAGTGTTCATGACTGTGGTCATAAAAAATGTCAAACAATTTTGTCTCTAGAAATCTGCAAATAATTAATTTTTGGTGAATGAAAGACTAAATCAGCGAAAACTCTTTTTCAAGTCACTCCTAGTTTTAAGAAAACTTGTTTCCAGCAACTCACAACACCTGAAAATATCGGCATATAAGCACGTTTGTTCCTATTACAGCAAAGCCTAACGGTGTGACATGTGGCGAGAAGCCTGTCAAAACTGCATCACCCAGTGACACTTCTGCAGACTTGGAGCTCAACTGTTTATTTTGAAAGTAAAATTTAGCAGCCTCAGTGCAGGTTCCAATTTTGGCTAAAAATACAAAGATGTCCTTGCTGTCAAATCCCCACACAATAAAACACTGTATGATCATGCTTTTGCATGCCTTACCTCAGACAGGGAATTCTGTTGGCAATCTATGGCTTGTCTAGAAAAATTCTGCAGTCACAGGGGTCAACTTCCAGATGAAATGTATGAAAATAGCCTCCCACCGATTTTTAAAAATGTTCTGCTTTTGGCAACTGACTCATTAGAGTCCATCTAAAATGTGTATAATGCTATCAAACAGTAGCCGTATTTCTCCCTGCAAATTTTGTCCAATTCAGTGACGGGCAAGCACAATGCATGGGGCGTATCTTGAAAGCTTTCTGAATGAGCAATGGACTGCACATATATAAAAACTAACACTGACCTGCCATTTGCCAATTAAAGATTTTCTATTTATATAAGCTAGTATTTTTTTCTCTGGTTTTACAAGACTGGAAATTATGCAACTTCTCCAAGGAAGTCCCCTGCCATATTGCTAGCATTCATTGTATTTAATATGGAAAGTTGATGGTATTTTTATAAAACTGTTCTGTACAGAATGTGACATTTTAATCAGTAATACACCCACAATTCAGTGATTCGTGCATCTCTGAAGCACCTGAAATATATTTATGCACTTTAGATTCAGAACCATTCAACTCTTAATTGAAGTAGGTTCGACAACTACTGTTGAAATGTCTCAGAGGTGTTATAAAGCTTTGCTGCAAAGGGCTGATCTGAACAGAAATAAAATACCTTTTGTAAAATCAAATATGTAGACCACAATTGGTACAGTCACTGAATATATAAAATTCCAGCTTCATAGTTTTTATAATTGCAAAAATGCTTGAAGTGGCAGAGAGGTTTTACTTTGCTAACTTGATGCCTCTGCTAATTAGGGACACTACTGAGCTGTTTAATAGCCCTTGTGCTGAATAATTACCAGAGGCATAAAAACACTCTACAGCAGCGAGGGGGGAATGTGATCCTGATTCCCACACTAAACACAACTAAGCAACACAAAGAGGATATAGTTTTACCTACCTGTATATGATAAATCAATTTGAGTGAATGGCGTTAGAGCGGTAATAAAGTGCTCCGTCAGTGCCTGGGATATAATTTCCATAGCAAGTGGGGTCTCACTGATTATCTTCAATGGGGAGACATTTTAATAATAGGTAACATGAGGCCTGAAAGCACATGATCTCATGTCTCGGAGCTGGATCATCTGCTATTTTATTACTCAGTGATTGCTTGGTAGCAAAAATATTTCTCCACATCCATCTGGATTTTGAAAGATGTATTGTGTCTGCAGTTGTGGACTTGGACTGTGTTAGCATAACTGTTCGGATACCTTTTCCCTTACTGTCCCACGTTACTGTGATTCTAGTGCCAACCTGCTGTCAATAAAAGTTTGAATTTGGCTTTGACTGCTAACACAGAGGATTTCCTATAAGACTTCAAGATTCAGAGTTTGTTCACAGCCTCTTCAAGCAGTGACAGATGGTGTACGGGCCCCTCCAAACTGGTTACTATAGTGCTGCCCGGGGAGTACAGATTCCCAAAACTGATTGTGAAGTCTGGTGAGGTGCTGAGAACATGACTGGAGGAACAGTGAGCATGGTGCTGCTATCTTGGGCTGTGTGAACGCAGAGGGCCTGGTGTTACGACTGACATGATGTGCCAAGGACCATACCAGACTAAAACAGGGTGTGGGCACAACTCCCAGGATAAGCAGCTGCACCTACTGGAAGACATGATCAGAAATGAGGCAACAGCAGGTACAACCTAGTGACGTGTGAGAACGGCAGAATGCCCAAAAACTTTCCCATGCATGCTGCTACCACTGAATTACGGCAGTATGCTGTAAGCCACTGCTTTTCAACCCCAGGTTGATCCCTCTAGGATGCTCTGTGGTGAGGCAATCAGGGTATGAATCAAGGCAGATGTAACCTTCTGATTCTCCTAATCTTCTACCACCACAGAATATCCTACTCTCCTGATGTTTCTGCGTGGCTGCTGGAGTCACCCTTGGTTCTCACTGGGGAAAGGAGTTTTTGCAGTGTCGCCCAGGAAAACGGCACCGCAGCAACACGTTGCAGGGAGCCAGACCACACACATCTTCCTCCTCACGAGTTCAGACCAGAGGGTCAGCGCTAAGGCTGAAACATGACTTTGGGGGGCAAGGACACCATGTGGCAAATTTTGAAGCCTAGTGATAGCCTTTTGAACACCCCTCCCCCTGAAAAATGGTTAGAAATATAGTCTCTGTAAAAAAAAAGACTAGATTAAATACATTGCTGCTGCAGCTCCGAGCTATGAAGTTTTTTGGGCCAAAAGACAGAAGCTTACTGATGAAAGCTGCAGAGCCACAGAATTAAAAAGTCAGGTTTTGACTCAGTGGGCAGCAGGCAGACAGGCATCTGGATAAGCTCTGGGTCATCACCACCACTGCAGTTTTCTGGTGCCTGCTGCCAGATACATCTGTAAAAAAGAGAACGGATTCAAAAAACAGCTGCTTGCCAAAACAGCTAGTTGGATAGGAACACTTCTGTGGATCCATGTCACTGGCAATTCTAGGAAACAATCTCCCCAACACAAGTGAGGACTGATCCTTTCTTTTTCCTGTCTGTAAACAGGATTTCTACTGCAGCAAACTAAAGCAAAGTGACTCATTATATTTTATATGTTGCTTTTCTAAACCCATGAAATATTAGACATTAAAAATAAAATGCTGTAAACCTGCAACTCCAAATGAAATGCCAACAGGGCTTTAGCACACACACCTCAGTGTAGCAAAGCCAGCAGAAATCACAAAAAATTAAATGGCCTTAAAATTAAAGTATTAAGGGGAAATCCAATTACGTCAATAGGCTTTAGAAGAGTTTTGTTCCTGAGACCAGTTTCAAGCATTCCT